AACTGGAGTCCCACAGCTTCTCCTCTCTGTTTCATAGGGGTTGAGATGAGGATGCAATAAATGTTCGTATCAACACTGGGTACGGTACAAAATATTTCAGTAGACAGAAGGCATAGTGATTCTCAACCTGTTTCCTATTATTGTGAAGTAAAATGAAAGGCCATCTTGTCTCCTTTTGTGGTGAAAAATCATAATGTGAACTTAAGTTTGTAAATCTAAGTGAACAGCTAAAATCTTAGCAACTTTTATTAGCCAAGACTTGCGATCTTCAAAAGTTACAATAGCCAAGATGCACACACACACATACACATACACCCACACAGACACAGACATAGACACACACATATATACAGGCAACGGAATATCACACAGCCATAAAAAGAATGAGATCAGCAAAATGGGGGTCCCAACACTTTCTCTCCCACAAAAACAATAAATAAACAACTACAAACAGATGAAAATAGCTCAGGGAAAGCTGCGAATTACAATGAAGCAGCAGCCAAAATACTGTGGAAATAAAAAAAAGCTGAGGATGGTCACATAGCAAACCACAGAAAGCATGTTATTTATGTCACCCCATCCCCCAGTCCAGGGTAGCTCAGTGCCAGGAGGAATCCCCACAGAGAAATTCCACTCCACAGGAAAAGGGAGAACAGAAGAACCCCAGCTAGCCTCACCACTGCGGACGTTTGCAGAGCCTTTGCTACCAAGGATTTGCACAATTTTCTCCAATGCTGATCCCAGCTGACAGAGCCTTTCAGAGTTCCTGCTGCTGCATCTCCTCCCCAGGGCTGGAGCTATTGTAGCAATGAGACCTACCCCTAGGGCCTCCACACCTCACTTTCTGGGACTGGGATGCCTCAGTGCTTTACCTTAAAGGTAACTGAAGCTGCCACTGCTCTCAGCCCTGCCCTCCAAGCTACAGGTCCTGGCTCCGACCTGTCATTGACCCAGGGCACAGAAAGCCCTGCCCCTGGGTCACAGGTCATGGTTCTAGCCTGTCAGTGCCAGGACAGTGATGCTGCTGCTCTGAAAACCACTTTAAATATATATGATTGCATTTGTCAATAAAGTAAAAAAAAAAAAAAAACTAAACTCAAAAATGTGTCCTAGGTATCAATAACATCACAATTTCTCAATAATTTCAGTGAATTACTTTATAGCTTTATATATATATGTTCAATAAAAATTATATCTCAAGTTGGAAATCACACATTTTTCATCACAGTATAAGTTAAAATCACAACACACACATATACAAATAGACAGCTACACAAATATTTATAAGGTTAAATTTGAGACACTGGAATATACATATGAAAAATTATTTAGATTTTTACAAAGAAATTATTATAGGATGCTTTACGTTTTAAAATTATGTGAAAAAGCAGAATATATAATCTACATTAACATATATAGTAATCAAAAGGCAGATTATGCCTAGTATAAAAGGAACTAAACAGAAATACAAAATTATATTTCAAAACAGTGTGTGTTTTGAGTGATGGGATTTTAAGTGGATTTTTTAGTTTTTTTTCTTTTTAAGATTTTATTTATTTATCTGAGAGAGAGAAAGAGTGATTGAGGGTGGGAGGGGGAGGAGTAGAGGGAGAGGGACAAGCAGACTGACTGAGCACCAAGCCCCATGAGGGGCTCAGCCCCAAGACCTAAGGTCATGATCTGAGCCAAAATCAAGAGTCAGACACTTAACCAACTGAGACACCCAGGTACCCTGGATTCTTTTTAAGTTTTTAAAAAAATATTTTTCTATAATAATAAAATAATACTTCTGGAATTAAACAAGTGTATCTATAAAAGTAAAATAGAGCCACAAAATAGAGAGTGAATATCCTCTCCAAATGGAATCAGGGAGGATAAAAAGTAACACTAACAGCAGGGCCTCACTTCTTCCTTTAGTAGAGAATGTTTACTACTGCTGGCAGTCTTCCCAATCAAAAGCCAGCTCTCCAACATTAATAAGGATACTGAATTTATCAACATGTCTGACAATTGTCAGCATATACCGTTATTTTTAAAAACTAACTGAAGTGCTTCAGCAGCACACCTTCCTCCTTCAAAGTCTATCTTTACTACAAGCTATCAAATCTATTCAAAATTGAACACACTTTCAGGGAAACTACTTGAAAGAGAATCCTCTAGTACTCATCTCAGAGTTCAGCAAAATATTACCAAAGACATTCTGAGGGTTCATTTTTAAAGGTGCATGAGTGAATTTCCGTAGTCACATGCCCTTTGCGGCAAAGTACGTGAGTTTCTACCACGCACCGCTAGGACCCATCTATTTGGTGTATGCACGTATGCATGTGCACGTACCCATGTATATGTTATTCATTATTCATTCAATACATGTTTTCATAAAATCTAAACATGTACGCTGTTGACAGAGTCATAGGCAAATCAGATGAGGAATACCATCAAGATAAATGAATAATTACGTCATAGCAGAAACCATTTTCACAATGGAAGCCGTAAAATACTAAGGCCTCACTTCTTTTGCACGGATACATGACCAAGCTGGGGGAACACCTTAAAAAATTCTCCTCCTTTACAAAAATTACGACACTGAAACACAAGTGCCCTTTCCTTTTCTTCTCTGATTTTGTACGAAGTTAGACAAAGACAGCCTACAAATCTTTAACCCCCATCATGTACAGTGGGGAACCAAAACTTAGTAAGTTGAGGATCATGATATGGAAAGGTAGGAAAACCAAAAAACTTGGTCTTTTGACATTGTTTAGCTACTGAATAAGCTAAAAAATTGTCACGTTTATAGACACCTTCTTACCTTATTTAATAAAAATCTTGCTGTTAAATAGCTTTTTGGGAAGTGCATATGCTAAAGGCATCCTAATTTATGCACCTTCATGGTCTACTCATACACAATTCACCTGATTTCATATATAAATGCTCCTTTCAAAGTGGCATGAAAAAACAAGGCTTACAAATAATGTCTCATTTTCAAGTCATAAACAGTTTCAGCAAATCCTGATTTGGGTAATTTCTGAAAGCTGATAAATTACTAATGTATATTCAACAACTGGCATATTACGAAGAAGTAAATCACTGAAAATTATTAGATCTCCTCGTTCTCTTCTCCCAAATTTTCCTTCACTAACTCTTCAATTTGGGAAATGAAATTCAAAAGATTTAAAAAGGCTCATATGATCTATCTTCATATAAATTTCTCAGCCTACGACCTAAAACTTACCAGCTCTAGGGAGCTCAGATTTGTTTTATTACATTCTTGGTATTATTAAAGTAAACTAATTCATAGAGAACTAGAAATTTCTCTGCAAATGAAAATACACACACACACACAGACAGGCATGTTCCTTCTTTTCCAATTTCAGTGATTAATGGTTGATGACTGCAAAGAGCTAAGGCCAACCTGAATATAAAAGTTAAGATACCCTGAGCTCGAGTCTCAGTATGAAAGATTAAAGGTAGACAGACAAATGCCTTGGGTTTTGCACTTTTATCTACTTATCACATACAATGAACAGAGTGTTGAGAGGCAGGGGTCTGTCAGCATTAACAAGAAATAATTCACAGTTTTCTTGGTGTGCTGGAGAATATCTTCTTGTAAATAAGGTAAACGAAATGGCAAGAAGCATATTTATGGAAGAGTAAATGGCAAGATAACGTCTAGATTCATGTATCACATGGAATGAATATTTAATACATACTTGTCGATGTAATAGAAACACCTTCCCCTGACTCTGAGCCAAAAGTAAAGGGGCTGAAGAAGAGAAATGTGTCATTTCTTATTGTTTTCATTGGAAAAATTGCAGGGTTTTCCAACCATTACATAAAATGAGGAATTATCCATCTTTAATTTAAACCTTGCACTTGTAAACTGAACTGATCATTGTAATGAAAACATTTTAAAAAATTACACACAAAGTAATTCATATTTATTATATATTAGGCAAATAATCACTCCTACTCCTAAGGGCCTAATATTCCATCACTTTACTGCATTTGGAAATGCACACGGACCATAAGCACAACAATTAAAGACACGTACCTCTTATCTCCCCTGCTCAAGGGAGATAAAAGAAAGTATCAAAGTTTTATCTTGCTGCTAATAACAAACTACCATGAACTAAGTGGTTTGAAAAACAAACAAAAAACCCACTTTGATTCTCTTACAGTTCTGAAAGTCTAAAGTCTGAAATAAATAAAAGTCTAAAGTCTGAAATAAATGTTATGGAACTAAGATCAAGGGGTTGGTCGGGCTGGTTCTTTCTGCAGGTTTCATTGTCTTTCCTCCTCCAGCTTCTGTGATCACATAATCTTCTTATTTAGGCCTTTCTGTCTCACTCTTATATGGACTTGTATATGACATTTAGGTTTCACCTGGATATTTTGGAATACCCTTCCTATCTGAAGATCCTTAACTTAATCACATCTGTAAAGTCTCCTCTGCCATAAGGTGTAAGATTCACAGGTCCCAGGAATTAGCAAGTGAATATCTTTGGGAGGCCATAGTTATTCCACAGTTTGTGGTAAATGTCTACCTCTACATAGATCTTGACTAGATAGTCTTGTAAAGAAAAATCTCAGTAACTAAAATCAATCAACAATTATACTCTTAGTAATAAAGAGATTTATGCAGGGATCTCTGGAGGTCAAGAATGTGGATCACCAGTGGATCTCATCTCTGGAAATTCACTCAATCTATGCTGTAATGTAAATAATCTGAAAGATCACACTCCTCAATATTCAATTAAAGTAACTGAAGGTTACAAGGGGATTTTAAACATTTTGGAATGATACCTGTCTTTGGTTAAGAATGTACCCAGGAAAACATATCTGCATTTGTCTCCCTTAATTAAAAAGGCAAGAAAATGAAAGCATCTTCAATGCAGTCAAATACAGCTGTAATCCTTACAAAAATTCAGAAATGAAATTTAAGGTAAATGATACTATATTTTATGCACTGGGAGGGTGGTGGGGGAAGGGAAAAAGATGCTCACCTTAAATAATAAATCCTTCTTCCCATAACGAAGCTCCTTTAGCTGGGCTTGGATTTTTTTTGACTGCAAGAACAGAAACCTAGATTAGTGCCTCAGTTTCATTTATATTTTCAAACTTGAATATTAAAATTATTTTAAACTGTATAAGAAGGAATTTTGCGGTCAAGCAAAAGCTTAATCTCTGCTTTAGAAGCTGGACATCCAGTTGGGCTAGGCAGCAGGACAAAGCCGAAGCCTGTGCAAAGGAACCATATTGTTAATTTTTTTGTAGAAATTTTACTTTTTAACCTTTAATTTTTAAATTTGAGTATAGCTAACACAAAAGGAATCATACTGTTTAAAAGGCAATATTTAAAGAAAATAGCTTATTGCTTCTCTCCCACCATTCCCCACCCCCACACACAAAAAGAATATACACACACACACACACACAGAAAATTTTAGTCATCAGAGGATGTCCAACAATCCAATTTTAGGTGCTAAATATACGTATGTATATGTATGCCTCAGTTTTCAAATTGCTTATTTGCAATTACTTCTTTTTTAAGATTAAGATTATGCTTTCTTATCAATTTCCTGATTCAATAGATCACAGAATGCAGTCGGTTCGTGATAGGGATGTCTGTAAAAACTGCTCCTAATATTAGAGCTCTTGAGAATAAAAACTCTCACTTGAAACCCCCCCCACCCCGACACACACACCCAGCCTCCTGAATTTATACTTCTATTTCAGGATTCTACATTTATTACAACTCTGTTCTCCTGGCACAAAATTCCCCAAGTAACCCCGAATAATGATATTTCAGACATAGATCTCTCTCTTGTTCCATTAATTTCATCTCTAAGACATTTGCTGGTTTTCATGGCTATCCTTTATTTTGTGCTATTGATTTCAGGAAAGAATCATTTCTGTTATCTTCTCCAACTTTAAATGCACAGTTGATTGGCATTGTCTCCCTGCTGTTTCAATCTGTTGCCCAGGGCTCATTTATAGGCAGGACAGTCCCTTAGGTAAACAGCTTTATTTACGTATTTTTCCAAATGAATGTTGACCAATATCAATGGGGAATGAGAGATTACCACTACATATGGTATGCCTGATTTGCCCAAGTTCATTTCTACTCTTTCAAATAATTAATGCTCTAATTTTTTAAGTGTCAGAAAGGACTAATTTTAACCATTTTGGGTGTTAATTTTAATGCAGATTTATGCTGAATGCACAGAATATAATTGAAACTTCTATTCATAACTTGAATTAATTATTAAAACATCAATTTTTGTGTTATGCAGTGATTCATTTGGGAACTATAATAAAAGGCTACACATCTTTGTTCTGCACTAAGTGAGCAAGCACAGTTAGATTTCCTGAGCTTAGTTAAAGTTCTTTAGATTTTTTTTTTTTTTAGAAATTTTCATCACAGTCACTCTTCACTTCTCTGCATTGTATATTCCAGCCATCTTCTAATGTACAGTGAGCGAAAAAGCAACATCCTATCTAAAGATCATATGAGAGTATACAAATTAAGAATAAATTGCATTTTGAGTTGAGTGCATTTTGTAATGCACATTGATCTAAAACCCTACTGACATTTTGTTTTCTTTTAGCTTCCTAGAGCATCATTTTGGAAAATTTAAAATAGTCAGAGGGGTAATCTTCAAGCCATTAAGTTATTAATGGTCTTAGTAATTTTTAAAATTAATGATATTAAATGTAATTTTACATGTTGGTGCCTGTGAGTCATGAAGTTTTTGTGTCTATGGTAAAATTAAGTTTGTGATGATGATGATGATTGTAAGTATAATAAAAAGATGGAGAAGGTAAAGACAAAAAAGGTGGCCACGATAGAACTTATTATTTTATTTTTAATTTAATTTTATTTTTATAAGATTTTATTTATTTATTTATTTATTTATTTATTTATTTGACAGAGACAGAGAGAGAGAGAGAGAACATGCAGGGGCAGCCACAGGCAGAGAGAGAGGAAGAAGCAGGCTCCCCACTGAGCAGGGAGCCTGATGCGGGCATCAATCCCAGGACTCTGGGATCATGACCTGAGCTGAAGGCAGACACTTAACCACTGAACCACCCAGGTGCCCCATGATAGAACATTTTAGCTAGTCCCTGAGGTTTTTCATTTCTACAGTTCACGTGCAAGTAGCATTTCCTTCATGAAATAATAGTGAAGATGATCATAGTGGTATTTGTACTGGACTCTATTGTTTTCAATATTCTGCCTTGGCAAATGAAAACACTGGCAATCCATTAGGTGTCAATGAGAGCTGGATATTTATTTATCTATGAATAGTTTAGGGTCATTGATTTAGAAGACAGCTCCTTTTTAGCTCCTAAACTGACAGGACATTATTATTTTGTTTTGGTGGTAGTAGTGGTGTTAAAACAAATAATCACATTTATTACCATATTCTTGGGAAGTGTTTTTGTGACAGGAAAAAAAAAATATATATATATATATATATATATGCCTCCATTATTGCCCAGGATGTTAATTTTTTTCCATAAATAAATAAAGAGGTCAAGTGAATAAACTGATTTCAACATTATGCAGTATTAATATACAAAGCATCTAGGAATTCATAAATTAAAATGTATATATAATGTATCTTTTAAGGAATTGAGACGAATTTAAAAAAAATGAATCATTCATGAACTAGGGGACTAAAAAATATAGATCAACCCAGATTGTTGTTATTGCTTATTTATTCACTTGTTTGTTTGTTTCTAAACAGCACAGGCAACTCTGCCTGGGGGCCATCTCTCTCCCCTGATTGCTGTGGGGACTCTGGGAACATGGCAACCCACCTCAGAATTCCACTTCAGTCCACATCGTATTTATTCAAAAATTGGTTCCACTTGCTTACCCTCTCCTAAGTAACATCCAGAAACTGCACACTACCCATGTAATATTTCTAGAAACCTGGCAAATCAAACAACGTAAGTGTCTATGTCTATTTGGATAGAAAAGTATAATGATAGAAAGACCACGCAGGTTCATATCCATAGGCTCTTCGGTTTGATTATTCATTTATGACGTATCGGCCTTTAGTTTCCATGTATTGAAAATTTCTATTCATTCCATGCACAATACTACAGCGAAGGCATTATAAACAGGCTATTATATTTCCCGTTAGACTCTAACTTCAGTGTTGAATGGCAAAGGCTTCTACAGGTCCATCAGGGATTCTTCTCAGCTTGTTTACTTAAAAAAATCCCAAGATCTGGATAGGTCCATGACCACCAACCTAATGACCTTTTCCCGACTCCATTCAGCGTGGCTAGGCATGTGACCGACGTCTGGCAAAAAGGATGCAATGAGACATGTGTCACTACTTCCTAGTCGGACTTATTAAAAGCAATGCTTGTGAGTCGCCACGTAATATTTCCTGGTCTTTCTGCTGGAAGGTGATAATAACAGGGGATGGTCCTTGGAACAGAAGGTGGCTCCACAATTAGGAGATGATAGCAGTATTTCACCAGCTCTGTGCCTTTCTTGTAACTACTGTGGGAAAGGGGTTAAACTTTTAAGTTGCGAGAGCCACTGTTCTTATTCTGTCTATACCATTTCCTTCCCCCTTCCTTCACAGATATCAGGTCTACGTTGTGGAATGAGGACTATCATGCCTGCTCTTTATCATTCACAGGTTTTTCCATTAATAAACCCCTTGCACAAAGAGCCTCATCTGCGGTGTGCTTGTTGGAGGATCCAGCTAACAGAGTGACTGTGGTCGCCTCTCCTCCGGGTATAAAGAATCACTTACTATGACACTCTCTCCACTATCACATTACTTACTATCAAAAAGAATTACATGAGCTACATTAATCTATAGCATTAAATAGGGGATCATAAAGCACAGAAGGATTGGGAGATCAGAAGTATAGGAAATTGATTTTAGTAAAATCTGGACTCACCAGAATGACTCCCCCACTCCCCACTAAGAAAAGCATGAAACAATTTCCCTGCCTAGCAAGTAAAACCAATGACTGTATTTGTTTCTTAAAGTTTATGGTCGACCCCAGAATCCTCATTCTGACATTTCACTGTCATTGAAAAACTTTGTAGACACCACATAGATGGTTCAAAAAATTAAAATTTCATGGACCTCCAGGTCTATTAAGAAAATCCTGATAATCCAGTTAAGGAAGGAATCCATAAAATCACTTTAGGGAAGCAACACTTAACTGGCTTAATTTCTTTTTTTGGTTATGCAATTTTAAGACACCCCCAAATACCTAAAAGTTTAAAATCTGTTTTCATTTTCCTATTCCAGTGCTTTCATTTATGTTAGTGATGGCCAAAGTCTCCAGACTTCTGGGTTAAGGAAGAGCAATCTGGCACTAATATTTTGGTACTCTCTACTCCACTGAAGCCAGAAAATGTACTCACCTCCTCTGCATGGATGCCACACAGCTTGCTTCCTGACAAGAGTTTGTTCTTCAAGCTTTTGTTCTGGTGGAAGAAACACAGTATATTGCTAAGAAATTATAAACCTTCAACAATTTCTTAAATACATCAAGTGCATTTCTCTGTTCTGTTCACCGATAAGTCCCCTTCAGGAGAGGACACGTAATGGATTTGTACAAAGTGAGCAGAACCTGTCAATGTAAAATAATGTTTCATTCAATTAACATTTTGATACCTTCACATTAACACACTCATTCTAAAAGATGGAACTTTATTTGGCTTTACATTTAATGCTGTTTTATTAGATCTGCGTATTTTATGTTCTAAAATAATTTTAGTTTCTAATCTGCGATTGATGCTGGTTGTTGAAAGCACTCCTCTAAAGAGAAGGCATTGTTTTATTATTATTATGTTCAATTAGCCAACATATAGTACATCATTGATTTTTGACGTAGTGTTCAATGACTCATTAGGATGCTGGTTGCCCTGGATCCTAGTACAATGTAGTCACAGACCCAGGAGGCTCTGTATTCCCTTCAAAGACTATAGTTTTTGAGTCCTCTGACATTCTGGAGGCCTGTGACTTATACTCAAAAGTCTTCTTGATGATCAGAAGCCATTTCTTTTCTGCTGGGCTGGAGTCTGGACAGATAATGATAATCCTTTGAATTCCCCATAATTGACCTTGATTCATAGATGAGTGTTTGTTACTCCTGACACAGAAGCCCTGTGTTCTCAGCCATCTGAATCTAAGCCCTTACAGCTATTCAATTGTATCTGCCTCATTATGCTCCGTCTTTCCTGTCTTTGTCCTGGTAATGAAGGTCCTTCTAGACAGGCGGGCTAAAGGAGAACAGAAAACTTGGTGAAACCCACAGGATTCAGACTTTGTACTGTCTCTGCAGGAGCAAACCATTAGTGGTAAAGTACATCTCATGCATAATAACTCTAAAGACAGTCGATCTGATGAGCACTATGAGCAAACTGAACACACTTTATGCAGAATGAATGAGTAACTGAATGAATGAATACATCAAATTTGAGAGTTCTTCACTTACAATTCCCACCTTTTGAACATCATTTCCTATTTTATTTTCCTGTCATGCAGAGAGGGGATACAGCTGCCTCAGTTTGGAAGAAACCTTTGACTAATTTTTCTTCTTTAGCAAAGACTTGAAATTCTAAAAAGCTCATTTCTTAGAATTTTAGTACTATGAAATGATTTACACAAATGAGGAGTTATCTTGATTCTACTCAAGTATTTTTTTGCAAATATTCATATTCATCATACAACAAAACACGAGATTAGAGCTTTTAAAAAGAATTTAATATATATTATTCTTATATTGAAAAAATTGTAACCTATAACAAGGGGATGGATACTGATGTTCTAACTCTGCAGTGTTGTTCAGATTGTCCGTTAAAAAATACCCTAGTTTCCGTCTATTTGTGTCTATATATGATATTTTGACATATGTAATCTTAATTTTTTCTCATAAATGGTCTGTTTCTCTCTTTCTGATTTGTCCTTCCATCTTTGTACACAGAAACACTTCATTATCTCTAGAGATTTAATATTCACTTAGAGTTTTCATCTTTTTTTTTTTTTCAGAGACAGAGGGAGAGAGCATGTGTGCATGTGAGTTGGGGGGGAGTGGGGCAGAAGGAGGGAGAAACTCTCAAGCAGCCTCCACTGCCCAGCGTGAAACCTGATGCAGGGCTTGATCTCACAACCCTGAGATCATGACCTGAACTGAAATCAAGAGTTGGGCACTGAACCCACTTGAGTCACTCAGGTGCCCCAGATTTTCCATCTTTTTGAGGGTTATCATCTTTTGGTGTAAAGCCATGGAATTTAAATAAGGTCTATAGTTTGTTTAATAGTATTATATTAATGTTAATTTTCTGCTTCAATAATTGTATTATCACTCTGTATGATATTATATGAGAGTTTGGGGGCAAAGATACACGAGAACATTCTATACTAATTTGGCATGCCCTTTTCTGTGTCAAAATTAATTTCAAAAAAGTTAAATTATCTACGGATGCTAGGTAGCTCAGTTGGCTGGGTGTCCAACTCTTGATTTTTGGCTCAAGTCACAATCTCAGGGTCCTGGGATCGAGCCCCATGTCGGTCTCAATGCTCAATGTGGAGTCTGCTTGGGATTGCCTCTCTCCCTTTCCCTTCCAAGAATCCCTTGAGCCAAGTGAAGATGTGATCCTGAGGAAAGATAGCAACATGTCTCCAAATCAGTGGTGTTCCTCTTCTCAGGGGACAAAACCCCAGCCGGAAGTATCCTTTGCTTATTCTGCTACCAACTGCAGCTTGAATGGGTCCTATGCTTATGGATCAGTACCTGGAGTCCTAGGGGAGGACCCCTTCCATTTAGTCTGGCAAACTGTGGCATTTCCCCTCCTCAGACAGTTCCAGCTTTCCAGAGCCTGACTAGCCATCCTCACACCTACTCCATTGGATACATGGTTCTAGAGCCTCAGCCTAATGAGAAATATAAACCCTTCCTAAGTCTCCTCCAGCATGACAGATACCTAGCCCATCCTCAGGAACCGGCTGTATAGGACTGAAATTCTGCCCAGACGGGCAGAACCTGACTCCCTGATCAGCCCACACATTAAGAAAATGTATTCCACCCTCCCCATTCCCCCCCAGATCGCAGACATGCCAGTATCAGCCTTGCAAGTTAAAAAAAAAAAAAAAAAAAAAAAGCCAGTCTCCAGAGAGAAGAAATCCGTTCTTTTATTAAACTTCACTTTGAAGAAGAGAATTTCTTTTTTCAAATCTGCTCATGATTTGCCTTCCACTGCAAACCCGACTTCCATAAACAATGTAACCATCCCTTTAGCTCTTTCACTGTTAGTGACATCTGGGAAATACTAGCTTTCTTTTCAGCACAAAACCACTGAGGCCATCCACGTAGATACTCATAGCATCCTAAGACAAATTGGAGGTAAAAGACAAGGCTTGGTCTATGATATGGCAGCAAGACCTCCCTGCAAATCATTCCAGATAAAATGATACATTTCTCCAATATCATTCATCTCTCTAATCTGGTAGACAGCTTTGTGTTCAGTCTGAGTATGGCCCTTAGCGCATGAGAACTCAGGAAGTCCCTGATGCCAATGTTCCCATCCACACACACCCTACTTGCCTCTGTGGAACAGCTCAGAAGGTGGAAATTAAATGACTGAAGATTAAAAAATAATAGTAAAATAAATAAAAATTTTAAAAAATTAAGATAAATAAAATTGAGCCAAGATAGGTGAAGTGTATTGGATAGAGGAGTTACGTACCAACACAAACTATCCACATCTGAGTAACTTGATTAGAAATGATATTGCAGTTAATAATATATTTAAAATTTAGTGTATGTGGCCTATACTACTTAAATTTTGCACCTTCGCTTAAAGCTTTTTTTTCCCTTTTTTTCTTTCCTCCTTCTTTCCCTTCCTTTTCTTCTTTTTTTTTTTTTCTCCATTCTGTTCAATTCTAAGATGATAGGTAAAGCAATGAATAGAACATTATTTCACTGGAAATGCTTATGATGGACCTGGACAATGCTCCTTGAACTGCACAGGGAAGACTGCCTCTCCCAACATGGGTAGCCTGCTGACCACCCCCAAGTGAGCAGTGTTTCCATTATGTGTCCACCGTCTGTGCGGACAGTTGGTAATTCTGGGCAACTGTGTATACTATGTAAAGCAATATGTTTCCATTAAGCTAAATGCCATTTCTAAAGCTTAAGAATTAGAGGATTAAATATTGAAATATACTCAGAACTGGGGATAATAATTATAATCACCCACACGGGGGCCAATTGTAGAACATAAGGGAGACTTGTCAGGCCCATACTAAGATTGTTCTCGGATGGCATGTTCTTCAGAAACATACGATGACACAGAGCACTGAGGAGGGAATACTGACTCCCAGACAACTCCCTCATTTAACATTTCTATTTATGGTTAGTGAGCACACTTCTCTAATTCCAGAAGGAATTGTGGCTGGATAACACTTAGACACTAAGAACACAGTTTTGTTTTTGGTTTTTTTTTTTTGTATTTTGTTTTTTACAGTTTTGTTAGCAGACTTACAAAATGAAATGACATCTACCCTCTAAACAATGGATCTCATCCCTATCAAACCTAATGATGCTTTTACAAGACCTAAAGCAACTTATACATATAATTATACATAAGATGCCAGGATCCAATTATGATTATGCCTCACTTGAGGGAATATGAAGAAAAGTAGATTAAGAGAGTCATCAAATGTTTAAATGTCTGTTCTTCCTGTCTGTCACACTTCTGCTATCCCTTACTTTAATAACAGTACTCTGATTTTTCTTATGAGAAAATATTTTTCTATGCTAATTCCATGTGGCTGGTGTTGACTCTAACTCCACCAACCCTATCTAGGAAAAGGATAAAACTCAAGCCCAGCCAATCAGTCTTGGTCCAGATTTAGTAAAATAACATAAACGCTGCTAATGAAAAGTTAATATGAATCTTTTCTTTTCAAGAATTGTAAGGAAAAGGTGCTGAGAGTCATCATTCAGTCGGAACCCCTCTGACACAAAATCACAAGGGAAAAGAACACCTGGGTGTGGAGAGAGAAATGCTGAATCCTGGTGATCGTGCTGGTGCTTCTTCCCTGCTTCATACTTGCCTGCTTCATACTTCCCTGAAGCTTGTATACTCCTGGGTGTTTCAATTACATGCTTCCAGCACCCTTTGGCTCTCTTGACACCATACATAAATCTTTTTGTCCACCCTATCTTACATAATTGTGTAATTCTATCACATCCTTAGGATTCAGAGTAGCAAAGAACATCTAAATAACCATGCTTATATCTAATGCATAATGGCATAACATATCAGGATGCAGGCCATTTATTTTGCCTTTTCTAAATGGGAGGCAGACCTTGCTTCCTAACTATTTAGGGAATGCTTCCCAACTGATGCTGTACAAATCTGGGGTAGCATGAAACAAATATCCCTATGGCCTTCTTGGGAACCCAGCTTACACATGT